AATCGCCCCCAAACTCGCTCCCAAGCCTCCATTCACGTACTAGGACCTTAAATAGCACAACCAAGTACAACCTAGCGTGAAATCGGCCTAAAACACGAGAAACCACATCTCAAACGGTGTAGGAATAGGGGTGAAAACATGTGTAATTAACGTTCTATCAGTAGCCTTCCTAGATGAAACCTTGGTGTGGACGGTGGATAGTATCTATTGAAATGAGCCATAAGTTTAATGCCTCAAATACGATATCCTAGATCGAGGTGACTTAAACATGGGTTTATGGGAGGCGTACTCGGAGGCATGTGGAAAATGACAAAGGCCCACGGAAAAGAGCTCACTCACCACATTCGATGACCCTAAGTATCTATACATGCATAGTATCCCTAAGCTAGGGGGATCATTAGTTCCCCGAAGTACCTGCTTTTAGCTTTGATCAACCTCTAGACTAGTGTTTCCTCATATCCTCCACTGAAAACCTCAAAAACTGATTACCTAATTAACAACAAGATGGAAAGTAGGCTATGGAACACGCCAAGGACATGGTCGAGCGTGCACCCACCATGGATGAGCAGAAGACCTCTTAGTTGCGAACGCTTATGAACAACCTCCTAAGTTGTATCCAAGAGCAAAGGAGGGATGTCGTAGCATATCCTCCACTTCCTGCTCTGGCCCGCCCATCCTTTTGTGATGGTGAGAGCATTGTGCCTCCAGTTGAGCCCCCACGAAGGAGCAAACGCAAGCCTCTGCCACAATTTCAAGAGCTTCGTACGAATCAAGAAATGAATCATTTGAATACGAGTGGGAAACTACACTGGAGGTCGTTGGAGGGTCATTGAGCTCCATGCCATCTCAGGAACATGACATGTTCCTCCAATGGTTCCCTCAGTTCCAGCATCAGCAGCAAACTCCGATGTATCATAGTCAGCAAAAACAGACCCTTCAGGCGCCGAACTACTACCACTCTATTGGTCCATCTCCGCCACCTCCACCACCACTGCAGACTCCAGTCGGATGCGGGTTAAGAGAAATCCGCGAGTAGTTGTCCAGGAGCTAGCGAAGAAGGAGGAGGGAGAGATGGCAGAAGAAGGGGTCGAGGAAGCCGTGGAGGACGAGGAGGAGGCAGAGGCGGGAAACAAAATGTTGGGGAACCAAATGAAGCCAACCAGTGAACTTGTCATGCTATCTATGTTTATTTTAGCTTTGTGTCATTCCATGAACTATCCATTTGGTCTTTCTTAAGTCAGCTCTTGTGTTTTCGTCTTGCATGATATATGAACTATCCATGTTGTCTTTCTGTAGTCCGGTCTTGTGTTTTGGCTTCGAGTTATCAATGATCTATGTTTAGTCTACCTTCCATTTTGTCTCAAGATTGCTGGAAAATCCAACATCATTACAATCACTAAACAAGCTTACAACTTAAACATCATTACAACTAAATGACAATTTAAGATAGATCACAATTCAAGGTTAGTCCTGGTTAATTTACGCATCTTGTTGGATAGATTGTCCTGGGCAATGCCTTTTTTCATGGCCAGGTTGTGTACACTTAGAGCATCGCTTCGGTCCTCGTCTCGGGCGTTGCGATTGATCCATCTCATTGTGAATCCTTTCAGTCCTAGCACGACCCTTGGTGCGTTTTACGTGCAACGGTGGGATAATCAACTTCCCATTTTCTAAAATCCAATAAGTTTCATCTAGCATGGGGCTGAAACTGACCGAGTAAGAGTTCCTGATCGCCTGTTCGGTGAAGTAAGGACTCACCAGTTTGTGGGGGCTCATGGTTATTGACTTAGCTACTGCCATTGCATGTGAACAGGGTATTCTTTTGTTTTGATATTTTTGGCATGTACACTCCCCGGTGCGGCTTTCCAAGTGTAGAGTAACAGATTGACGATTGTGGCCACGTCTCCCTCCCCCCATATACCCGTTTCGACAGCAAAAATACCTTCACTGCGGTTGAAAAGGACAACTCTATGCTTACTTGATTTTACTTCGTTCTTCTGCATTTGATCAAAGACGTGATGTGCTACCGCATGAACAACTAGCTCCCTCCCTATAGCTAGCTGAAGACGATTCAGAAACCATTCGTTGACCTTCTAGTATGACAGAAATAGACATAGCTCTAAGGCCCTTGTACACTCCATTTATAATTTCGTCATGGTTGGTAGTTGCAATGCTGAATCTGGCCTCGTCCATATGGAATGTCCACATGTGCAGCTCTTGACCTTCAGCCCATACTACCCCGGATCGGTGTACCTGACGAATTGTCTTCATCTTCTGATCGTACTTTTGGGTTGATGTGCAATCGCTTCAAGGTGAACAAAAATAACTGGTCAATACATGATAAATAAAAAAATATCCATTATGCGTAATTAACTAGCATAAAAAGACATTAGTACCTGCAGCCCACAATTGATCTCTTATGTCTTTCTTCTTCCCGAATTTTTGGGAGAAATTGGCAAGAAAATGTCGAATACACCATCGCCATGTCCATCCCCATTCGTCGTGAAAACCACCCATGGCTTTCCTAATCCCCGCATGTCAATCAGATAGAATCGTAATACCCTACCGCTGTGTCACGTGGTTATGTAGTTGGTCAAAGAACCATGCTCAACTTAAGTTGTTCTCCCCTTCCACTAATGCAAATGCAAGAGGGAAAATTTGCATATTTCCATCAACGCCAGTTGCGATGAGAAGAGTTCCTCTGTACTTCCCAGTGAGGAATGTTCCGTCAACCTAATTAAAATTTAGGATTTAATTAGTATAAAAAATACTTAGCCAGATAAATTAACTTGTACAACAGTAATTAGTCAGTAATATACCTGGATAACTGGAATGCAGAACGCAAACCCGTCAATGCATGGTTTGAATGCCCAAAGTAGCCGGTGAAACATCAACTCATTATGTACTCGAACTTGATCCTCAGTGTATACATTGTTGTAACATGGCACGAAAATAGTCCCAGGGTTGGACTCCTCCATTACGGCCATTAGTCTAGAGAGTAAAGCATACGAATCGTTCCAATCACCATACACCTCAGCCATGACCTTCTGCTTTCCATGCCATGCCTTTTTGTACCTAATCGTGTAGGAATGTCGATCCTTCACCTCGGCCATGATAGCTTTGACCTTGATATCTGGTTGTGCCTCTATCAAGTGCTTAATAGTTCTCCCCACTTTCTTTGCTTTAAGTTGGCGGTGATCCTGGGAAAGTATGGACGAGGAGCAGGTGTGGTTGCTCTCAGCTTTTCGAATCACCCAGGCACCCTTTCTCTTCATATTTGCAGCCCGCAGTTGCCACATACAACCCTCTCCAGCATCCTGAACGTCGTTTTTTGTTGTGAACGCCATACCCACCTCCAAATTGGTCGTCAGATTATACACTGGCATAGGGACAAAGTCGGGGGCATCATGTTGACTATATAAAAATTGAGATGGAACCTGTGTGTAGTATGGCGTTGGTGCCTCACGGAACGCCACCTCATCTTCGTCGATCCCGTCCGTATCTTCCTCCTCACTGACTGATCTCAAATCTTCTTCACTTTTCTCGTCAGTGGAGGAGAATGGATAGCTCTGCCCACGATGATCATCGTGACCCGCATCACCAGCATCGTCATCTCGCTCATGCAAAGTACGCCCAGATCGAAGGGTGTTCTCAATGTCAACCCACACTCGCCCCCAAGCAGGACAATGAACGTCGTTGGGCTCAACAAATGGGGCAGACTGAGCATGTTGGGGGTATTCTTTCCATGCCACACTTCTTGCAGAACTACCTTCACCGTAGTTGCTTGAACTACCACCCAATCTGTACCCTCCTGTATAACCACCTACTTCGTAGTTGCTTGAACTACCACCCCATCTGTACCCTCCTGCAAAACCATCATTATAAGTATACTGGTCAGAATGAGTTTCACCGACCACCTCGGTCTCAACATACACCTCTGCAAGCCGGATCCCGTTATCGCTGAGGAACAGTAACATCGTGGTAACCGCGTCATCATCGTTTATGACAACTTCTTGGTACACAACCCCACCAGCACTCATGTCTGGATACTTGTAAGTAATTTTACCAACTCTCGTATGTTCGCTCGTACAAACCATGTCTGCACAAATTTCACAGAGTTCTTACCACGTGAATCGCAACTCAATTTTCAACATAGTTGATTCACCGTCTTCATAATCAATCCCAATGTCAGAGTTTGTCACCTTGCCATTCCGCCGAATAATAAGCTGAAACTTCTTGAATTTACCCATATCTGCAATATACAATAAGTAACTATTAGATTAAGTCCAATAAAATTAACCAAAACCATATTTTACGACTACGAAAAATAATATTACTCCATCTCATAACTAACATAACATAAATTCAACTAACTAACAACAACATAAATTCATAACTAACGTAACATATTTGCTACGAACAGTAATTCATTACATATATATTACTACTAAAACATCATTATACCAAAAAATTGTTTCTGTAGGTATGTTGCTGGGATTTTTGCTTAAATTTGACAGAGGAGGGAGGGGAAGAGTGTTTTTTTAACTCATTGTGGGAGGGGTATTTATATGAAAACCAGGGAGCATTCACCGCCTTTGTTGACAGCGGTGAAGGTAATCACCGCTTTGCCCTAAGACGGTGAACTTTAGGTGGTTGTGATCTAATTTTGACCTACTAGTTCTGGGAAACGTGGAAAACTATCATAGCCGTAACCTAGCGTGGTGAACACTTTCCCCATCGTAACCTAGCGCGGTGAAGGCATTCCCCGCTTTACTCAAAGGCGGTGATTGCTTCACCGCTGTAAAGAAACACGGTGAAGTTTCATTGTTTTTTTTAAACACGGCGATACTGTTCACCGCCTTTCTTCTCGGCAGGGATTGCATTCACTGCTTTAGACAAAGACGGTGAATGTCAAACATATGTACTTTGAGAATTTTATTTTATAACTAATGTATTTTGGGATTTTTTTTAATTACTAGTGTATACTGAGATTTTTCCCCATGCTTTGCTGGCCGCTTTTCAGGTTAATTAACTCCCTTTTACTAGCTAATAAGCATTCTCTTTTTTGCACATTTGTGCTCCACTTTTGTCCAACAAAAGTAATAATGTAGATGTTAATTGTTATAGTCCAGGGCCTCGAGGGGCGATCATGGCAACTCTAATTCCAGGTGCCAACATAGTTCGTATCATTCTTACTGGATCTGGCTTGTGGAAAGATGAAGCCACTGCCAAGTCAATGAGCAGATTCGGTGACCACAGGTTAGATTAATCGGTGTTCTTAGCTATAGGATAAATGTCTACTTACTCTGGTGTCCTACTTTACTAAGGCATGATTGATTTCATGCATTATCATCTGCAGGGAGCTTCTCAAGGGACTGCTGTACTATGTTACAACCATCTCTTTCGCTTGTGCAATCTGTTGGAGGATTTCCCCTGTTGCCATTGCAGCTATCTGCAATCTGTGTGCTGGAGATGGCACCCTTCTTTCTGATTAAACCAGACTCGGTCTTTTTTAAGTCTCTTAGCATGAGTTGCAGACTAGGGATGTGCAGGTTGACAGTTCCTCAAACTTGCATCTTTATTTTCGTTGTGATGTACATTTAGGGATGGCGGACATTGTGGGAAGAAGGTTTGGCAAGCAGAAACTACCTTACAACAGAAACAAGTCTGTAGCTGGGAGCATTGCAATGGCATTATCTGGTTTCGTAGCATCTCTTGCGTAAGTGTAATCTACATCCTCTGGCTCTCACTACCACTAACTGTGTTGGTAGGCAAATTGGTTTTCGGATTATGCTGAAGCCTAAAGAGATTCTTCATTCGAGCGGTGTCACAAAACACCAGTCGTGGCCTGGCCACAGGGTAATTCATGTATGAGTAATTGCTGTACTTGTATCGCACGGTTGAATAGAGTAAACTAACTAATGTGATGCATTAATGTATAACTTCTTTGTTTTCTACATTTATTGTAAAATCGTACATGAGGTTGTATTGAAAAAGGTAGTGGTAGGAATTTTGTACTTAAATTATGATTTAATTGTGTTTCAACTATTGAATATTAATAATACCATCTATTGACATGCTTTGATAGGGAAGTTTTCCGGTTACTGTTAGTAGGGTTGCCATTCGGTCGGTTTCGGTTTAACCGAAAACCGAAATCCCGGTTATCGGTTAAACCGAGACTCTTCCTATGACTACCGCCCACCGACCGTGAGAAAGCCACAGTTAGCCGGCCAACCGATCGGCCGATTTCAGTTTTAGGCTTGGTTAGCCGCCTAAAAAAAACTACCCCTTCTTTTCAAAACGATTGCATTTAATTAATAATAAAAAACACGAAAGAAAATCATCCCCATCTTCCTCACAGTCACAGTCACAACAACTGCTTCTCTCTCCTTACCTTTCTCCATTTTAGATCTGCCTTCTCTCTCCTTCATTATCTCTCCTTCCATCTCTCAATTTTAAATAGGAAGAAGCAGCAGCAGTCGCCAACGACGAAGGCGCGGGGGAGGAAGCGCTCGCCTGCGGAGGACGACGGAGGTGATGACGGCGCGAGAGAGGAGGTGCTCACCTGCATGCGTGGCATCGTCGTTGACCGCGAGGGCGAGCTGGTCTCCCGTGAGGTCGGCCAGCCGTCCGGTGACGGCGCGGAACTCGAAGGGCACCCCCATGAGGCGGGCGATCTTCTCCATCCGCTGGCCGATCTCCTTCATGACGGCCGTGGCGGGGACGACGACGGTGAGCGTGAGGTGGAGAGCTGTGCTGCGGCTGTGGCCTGTGTGGGAGTGGAGTGGGGCTGCTAGGGTTTAGGATGGGGTTGGGTAGTTTTATTTAGGCCAAAACGGTGTCGTTTAGCGTTGGTCAGTTAGCCGGTTAACCGGCCTCGGTTTTTCGGCTAACCGCCTAACCACTGAACGCCTCCGACAACCGACCGCAACCCATTTTTTTCGGTTTCCGGTTAGCCGCTAACCGGCGGTTAACGGTTAGACCAGCCGGTTAGCTGCTAACCGACAACCGAACTAACAGCCCTAACTGTTAGTACATAAATTTTTGCAAACATTGCTTTTTTATGTGCTTTCACTCGTGTTTTACGTGTAGAAGTATGGAGAAGATAAATAAAAATAAGATATATGCTTTAAATCCAAAAGTAGAAGTTAGAAGTTGGAAATGATGTGTTTGATCAATTAAGAAGATGGTTATTGGGTCAATCAGAGGCATCAACAAGTGTCAAGTTGTTGAATCTAATGTAGCGTTATGGATGAAGCAAAATAGCTTGTGGAAAGCAAGGTAGATTATAAAATTGTCAAGTAAAATCGAAAGTGCATAGATAAAGAGTACTTGATTCGGCTAGCAGTCAACAACTCGACGATAAATTGAAAATCATCAAGTATTTTGTAGTGTATCAAAAAATTAGTCATTTTTTTGTTATCGTTAATGATTTTATAACTTTTTTCTTAGTTAAAATACTCAAGTTTTCGAATGTTAACCTCCATGTGTCTCTTCGAAATCAATATCATATTGGCAAATCAATATTACTAATAAAATTGTTAGCTGAAAATTAACATTTGAATAATAAGTAGTAATTCAATATATTTGCCTAATAAAATAAAATGCAAAGAATATTTGACTAATAATTAGTATTTTAAAAAAATACATATACCCTGCCAACTACATGGTAAATTTACTCTTATAAAGAGGCTCATGTGTGTCGGAACGCGTTAATGTGGTTACTAGAATTCTAGTAGCCACCGTGGCTATACTACTATCCACCATCTATTTTTTTCACTTTTTCTATTCTTTTAATCTCACGGTTAAGATTGTTTCAAGGCAATTTTGGAAGAAAACATAAAGCCACACCTGATTATACTCTCTCGCTCCATCCAAACCCTCCGCAAGGCAATTGACTAGAGAATATAGGACTAGATGGTTGTTTTTCGTAGTGGTAGTATTTTTTCGCATTGGTATTGATTATCATGTAATGGTATTAATTTGCATGTATTGGTATTGATTAAATCTGCAATGGTATTGATTTTTTGTGAAATGGTATAGATTTATATTGGAAGTTTTCGTGTAATGGTATAGATTTATTTCTGCAATGGTATTAATATTTTTCAAAGTGGTAGTGGTTGTCTAATGGATGGGAGCGGATACTATAACAACACATCTTGTGTTGTTATAGTAACATCAAGGGTAAATATGTCAAACCAACAGAAAACAAAAAATTAAATAAAAAATACTAATTCTAAACACCACACGTTACTTCCCTGTTCTCTTATCCTCCTCTCTCCCACCGATCTGCACCCCACTGCTCCAGTATTCATTCTCGCCTTTGCCGGAAACGAAATTACTGACGGCGAGACCGGTGGCGCTGGTCCAGAGCTCATGGCAACCGGTGGCAACAGGATCGGGAGGGCGAGGATGACGCCAGGACAGCTCCGCCTCCCGACGTCGAAGGGGCAGGAACCTGAAGTCGTTGCCGTTGGCCTCGACCTTGGCCTGGGACCAGAGCCTCATCTCGATCCGTAATCGCGTTCAGTTTCTCAAATCTGCTCGCTCTCTCCGACTGTAAATCCCATTCCGAATCGAAATCAACCGTTGTCTCTCTACTCCGGTGCCATCCTCTCTCCGACGGTCGGGCCAGACGCTGGTGTGGAAAACGCCGATGATGACATCAAAATCGTAGTCGGACTCGGACCAGAGCCTGCACTGGTTTCCTTCTTCTCGGTCGCTACTCGCAGGCGACGCTCTGCTTCCTCCAGGTCGCCACTCGCAGGCGAGGCTTCATTCTTCTTCCCGGTCCACCAAAGTTGATGAAGAGTCGACGACCTCTGTTCTTTCTTCTCCCTCGCCATCTCTTTTCTGCACCGGGACGTGTGCTGAAGCCTTCGCGATTGCAGCGAATATCAAGTGCACATGTTGGATCTCCTTGCAGCGAGACTTCAGTGCTGCCGATTCGCAGACGAGCCGCAGATCTGAAATTGTCTCGCCCATACCCCCACCGCCTGCGTCCACGTCGACTTGAACCCGCCCTCTGATTTCGCAAGACAGAAGTAGCGGCAACGACAACCGGCGACCACGAAAGGATAGCTGCAGCAAGCTGCAATCTCACATGGACGAGCAGAGTCAAACCAACAAGAGCTCTTCAAAACAGAGCATCAACCTAGAAAGGGATTTTTTACAGAAGCTTGGCGAGGAGATGGACGGAGGGAGAAAGAGAATGACGGGCGGAGGATGGAGAGAGGAGATCTGGTGGTGGAGGAAGCAGTGGAGGCGGAGGAGGGATTGGGGATTACGGCGGAGGAGGCGGCGGCGGCGGCCATTGTTGACATGCAGAAGATGGGTACCAATGCTAAGTTGTAATATCCTAAAAATTGCATTTTCTTTTCACTCTTGCTTTTGTTTTTTTGTTTGTTTGTGAATTGTGCTAAATAGGAACTCATCTAGTTTGTTACGATCAATGAAATAGTGACCTTGTTAATAAGATATATGATTACTGTTGGGGTAGTAGAGAGGAGCCCATGAAAGTTAAGAGCCCATTGGGCCTTATTGAGATAGGGGAAAGGAGCTCATAAAGGTTAGGAGCCTGTTGGGCCTGAAGCCTATTTGTGGCCCATGAGAGTATGACCCAGGTAATTATGAAGGAGCAGGGGCGCATGACGACAAAATAGGCTCGCGGACAAGGGAGTACAGGTGGACAAGGTCAGAAGGGCGCCACGAGGCAGGTGGTCCCCCTATGCGCCCCGACGTGGAAAATGGACGGTATGCCACGTGTAGGCGCGTAGGCGCCAGGGGAGACCGGGCATTTAATGCTAGGCTGACAGAAGCCTTGGTGGCAGGAGTTGGTCGGAGCTTGGTCGAGGAGCTCGAGTAGTATAAATAGCACTTGGTAGGTAGCATTTAAGCAGGTTGGTCTTTCTCACACTAAACTTCTTTCTACACTTCTCTCTCTAGAATAGCACCTAACTTGATCGTCGGAGTGCTAACGGACGGGTCAAGCCCTCTCGGCGCCCGTCCTGCAGGGTCCAAGCGCTAGGCGCGGAGCAAGGGGAAGAGTCTCGAGGGTGAGAGAGTATCACGGCTTCAACAATTGGCGCGCCAGATAGGGGGCGTTCGGCAATACAGGAAAGATGGAAGACTTGAATGTAGGAAGTGTAGGCGCCGAGGATGCGAGAACGGAGAATTCCAGTCAGGAGGGGGGTGAGCGGCGGTCAAGCCCGGTAGTGAGCATGGACGTGGAGGACGAAAGCCGCGAGCGCCCGTCTATGGAGAATGATTCGGTGTCAAAGAGGGAGCTGTTCAAGATTATCGCTGACCAAGACCGAGCAATAGCAATGCTTAGGAGGGAATTGGAAGGAGGAAGGAGCGTTGATGCGAGGGAGTACAGCCCCCCGGTGAGGAAGCGGGACAGGCTCATGGATGATTCGGAGGTAAGCGAGTATGGACGCCCGGGCTATGAGGGCCACAATCCTGAGGTAACACCGCCTAGGCGCCCGGGCGTGTGGAGGGCGCCAGGCGAGTGGACCATCCCGGCCCCAGACGAGCAGACCCCCTGGACGCCCAAGCGTCAGGCCAGGCGCTTCGGGATCAGGCAACCCTTAGCGCAAAGTGTGTTAATGGAACCAGCGGGAACTACACTCCCACCGCTGACCAGCTATGATGGAGTCACTGACCCGGAAGACCATCTGAATAGCTATTTCACGAAGATGCAATTGTATAATAGCACGGACGC